AATGACACAATTGTTTAGAATGGCGGAGTCCTTAAAAATAACTTTTTAATTATAATTTATAGAATATAAAATAAGTACATGAGGAGATTTTTATCTCAATTTATGTGAAAATATTTGTAAGTATTTATATTAAGTAGCTTCAAATAAGCAAGTTTAAAAGAAATTAGACATAATTAAGGCAGGGGAATGAACCATAATAAATTAATTGTGTCAATCTCTCTACTCTTATTTATTTTCATCTCTATATCTATATTTTCACAAGCATGAACTCACATATTTAGATTAACAAACATGAGTAACTACTAATTGAAAGGGAATTTAATTCATTAATTAATTAAGGGTAGGATCATGGATCAGATAGCGTAAGAAATGAAAAGGCGACAGCTCTTAAACCAAAGGAATACGTGTGGCAATTGCCTAGTCATTTGTGAGTTGGTACGCAATTTAAGATGAAAATAATATATATATATATTTTACATAGTGATCGATTAACTCAAATTAATTAATTAATGTGATGTGAAAAATGTCAACTGGAGATGAAGCATGAGATTAAGTTGAAGACAAAGAAGTGAGGGAAAAAAATAATTAATTAATAATGCATAGGCTGAAACCGACAGAAAGAGCAGGTAAACACAAGGTATCATGGAAGCTGTTTGTTGAGAAACAATTGATTCTATTAATATTTGCAGGAAAAAGAAATTCTATTATATGATGATTAAATTATAAAAAGCATAAATATTTTATATTATTTAAAACTATACACTTGTGGATGAAGTTTAATTTGATTGCTTCTAAGAGGAGAAAGTGTGTTGATGTTGGGGGAAGGAGGAACAGTAATTTGGGCAAACATTCCGAAGTGAAGCTGCACATGCACGCTATCTCTCTCTCTCTCTCCCCCTCACATGCAACGCTTTGACCCGTTCAAAGAAAGCAACTTTTTTTTTTTAAAAAAAAAGAAAATATTACAATAATGTATAAATAATTGATCAATTATTAACTGCTTTCAATTTTTTACTTCAAGTATCGGGCTTTAAATGTCTTTTTTCGGCGCAAGTAAACATGAACTCAAAACTTTGCCTAAGAAAGAGCTGTTAAATTCCTTACTGTTTAACCCAATTATTGTCGATCAGTTATTAATACGTATTTTCACCTCATTAAGCAAATTATTGTGTGCCTAAAATTAGAGAAAATTGATAAATTTTTAATCAGTAATAAATTATACATATACATAAATATATTCATAAACACACAAAAATGCATGCAAAAATGCGTGCGTTTTTCTTTATTTTATAAAATATCATTTTAGTTCTTTAGTCATAATATTGTTGATTTAATTAACAAAAAATATATATTAAAATTTACATATGTTGACAAAACATTCATAGAAGTTGATATATAAAGTTTAATTTTGTAAAATAATAATAATACTGACACACACAAAAACATCATTTGAGACTAATAATAGATATTAGGGTTAAAGGATTGAAAAGGTCAGACTTCATTCATGTGAGCTATATATATAGATGGTGATGGGATCTTTCATATATATATATATATATATATATATAGACCCATACCCATCATTCTTCTGAGACAATAGTCACGATTATTTTAAATGAAAGATATAAGAATTCAACTATGGACCCGAATGATGATAAGTGGTAAAAAAAAAAAAAAAGAATTGAACCATTCTAATAATGACATGCATGTAAACAAGTCGTACACTAATTTAAAGACTTTGAATTGAACTGAGGGAAGAATACGAAGAAGTGGTTGAGCACAAGGTTTATGTAATACCTCCTCCTGTTTATAATATAAAAATTAATTAAGAGACTAGATTTGGTTCTAAATATAAAAATTCAATCAAATTTATTACTCCTCTGATCCTTAATATAAGACCCAATTGTTGAGTTGGTTTTGGTCCTAAATATAAGAACTATTTCTCATATTTATCAATTTTCTCTAAATTACTCCTATGGATACTCCTTCAACCATAATCAAGTAGAAGAGAAGAGGAGATATTAAGAAAGATAATTATGGTATTTTAAGAAAAACGTGTCACATTTCTTATAATTAACTAACTTACCTAACTTTCTTAATCTAACCAAATTAGTTAAATGGGTCTTATATTAAGGATCGGAGGAGTAATTTTTTAAAAAAAATTACCCGTGTCTAGATATTTTAGAAAGATCGGTCATGTTTATTATAATTAATTAATTAATATGATTTTTTTAATTTACTTAAATAAGTACTACCTCCGGTCCTTAATATAAGACCCCGTTTGACTTTTTGTTTGGTCCTAATTATAAGACCCCAATCCATTTTTTCTCTCATATTTATGCATTTTTTTCCAAGATAGTCCTTCTAATAATGATAATTCTAGCCAATACACTTAATTAGCAAGGATATTTTAGGAATGACAACACTTATTTATTACAAATAACTAACTTAACTTACTTCCTTAATCTCTTCAAATAAGTCAACTGGGTCTTATAATTAGGACCGGAGGTAGTAATTTTTATATTAAAAGTCTTGGGAAAGGAACGAGCAGGTAAAAGGAGCTTTAAATTGAGGATGATAGGTGAATAAGGTTGATAATGATTGAGGCATAGTTTCACCCAATGTGGGCGGTTCAATGATATAAATTTGATGTATATATTTCAGATTGTGATTGGCATTTGAAAGAAAGTACTATGAACAGTGATAAGTAGTTACAGATTCAGATGTAAGTGCCTGACCCTATCCTTTTTTTCCTTTTGAATCAAATGAAACCATTTGAAGCAGATAATGACCTCTAACTCTATATTATTCACAGGCTTCTTCAATTCATCTCCTCTGTCAAAAACTTGTTCTCAATTATTCCTTACACTTGTAAGCAGCCCTAAGCCTTTGTTATGACCACCTTATCTGCTCAAACGTGGAAAAAAAAAATCACATTTTTTGAACTTTTAATCGGCCCTGAAAATACATTATTTGAATTAGTGTCGGGGTAAAACGGAGTTTGGATAAAATTGATTTATAAGAATGATTTTGAGTACAACTAGTTTAATTAGGGGGTGTTTGGATTATCTTTTTAAAAGTAATTTTATAGTATACAAAATAAGTAAATGAGAGGAATTTTCTCATGAGTACATTTTTTTTAGTGCTTTTAGGACGCTTTTCATATACCATGATTCAGTTTTTACTAAACAAATGATGAATGTTCAAACCGCCATGTTTAGATGTTCAAACGTGATTTTTAGAAAGTGATATTTTTTTCATAAAACAAAATCACGTTTCTGGCTTCTGAAAATTGATTAATCCTAGTCTTAACTCCTCTCCAAACAGGTTCAAACCTTTGCTTTAACCTTTTTGTTTGGAAGAAAGACAACGATGAAGATTGTTACAGATGACAAAAGATGATTTCATTTGAGTTTTTTTTTTTTGGTCCAAAAGAAAAGCATGAGTTGGATTCAAAGAATCAACTATTTGCAGAATGTTTTGAAGGAAACAAGGAGAAATTGGATTGGAACGTAAACCCAGGGCTTATAAATAGACCCATCACCATCGCAACAGTTAATTAAGGTCCAAGAAACAGTATGGCTCAATCATGATGCCCCCCACCCCAGGTTCCTCATCTGGAATGATTTTCTTTTTGTTTTTAATTTAATCTTTTACAGATGAAGTTTTCTCATATTAATCTTTGGCAAAATTGCTTTCTCAATTGACCTATGATGCCATTTGCATCTTTCTCCATTTAGTTCTTTACAAATAAGATGGTCGTCAACAATAATTCTTCATACAAACACTAAATTATTAGGAAGATAATTTTTATAAAAATTAAAGGGAACATAATTCAATAGGGGATCAAATTGAAAATTCTTTATTTGTGAGCAAAATTTTGAAACGATAATTTTACAAAGGAGTAAGTTGATAGACACATATTTTATATAGGACTTCATGAGACCTTTTTTTTTAATTAATTAAGTATGGATACCATGCTATTGGAAGCCCATTTAAGTTTGACACTATGTGCTAGCACTTCTCTTAATGAAAATTTAAACATTAATTTACTATGTTGGAAGGGACAAGTCATTAGGAGTTCATAAAATTTTACTCTATAGTTATTAATTCACATTTTCTAATTTCTAACTTGATAAATACAGTGAAGCACTGTCTATATCAGTGCAACTCTTTTTTTTAAAAGATGCAATGCACACGACTTGCCTATTTCATTATTGTAATTAACAGAATTAAAAGCAAATCAATAATTATATCAATAAATAATAAACAATAAAATAACAATGCACCCCATTTAATATATTGATAATATTAGGGGGAAAAAATCATTTAGGAGGTATGTTAATTTTTCTCAATTTCTAATTTGGTGCCTATACTTTTTTCCTCAATTAAATATTTAATTTTGTTCTGTTAGCATCACTAACTCTTGCAGATTGTCTAACGGTATTAACAAAGCAAAGTTATATGGGCTAATGATACTAATAAAACAAAATTAAAAAATTTCATTAAGAGAAAAAACATATAAATACCATATTGAGGGAAAGTATAGGCACCTATAAAATGTTTTTTCTTTTCATATATTGATATTGATTTAATTTGCACTCTCCAATTTCGTGTCATTTTAAAAAAATCTCAAATTTTTGTAAAAATGCTCAGCCGAAAAAAAATTGTAAAAAAGCCCCTGGGTGGATCTAGAGCCTTTCTCCTGCTGTCAGGAGCATAGGTTGGACAAAAGTAAACTGGAAAATAAAAAATGAAAACGTTTCAAAAATTCCATTTTCATCCTCAGAAGTGTTTTTTTTTCCCGTGTCCCTTTATCATTTCATATGCATTTTATTTTTCTAAAAGCATTAAATATTCCGTACGGTGAAAACAAAATGATTATCTTCAGAGTATTAGTGATATCTCAACAAAAAAAAACGTAAGATTTTTGTGTTCCATCTCAGTAGATAGATTATGAGTTCTTTGGGGGCCCAATAGAATCTGCACCCTGCACGTTGTCTATCATTTGATTCTGCATCTTATTTATTACCCATTTCAAAGCAATGATTGATAAACAAGGCACCAAATTATGGTACAGCTCACCTAACTATTTATTGAATAAGCCAGTTGTCACTGCTAGCAAGTCAGCAACTCTAATTAACAACTCTAAAAGGATCGTAACTTGTTTTAAAACTACAAAAAAAGAAATGAGGGTTACTGTAACATTCAGAAGGTAATTAAAATTCTATATGATCAGAGTTTAGGAACAGACCCATCATCATCATTATCCCTAACTGTACCAGAGAAACACAGCAGAATCCATTAATTAGCAGCATAGCTTGAAAATCCCAAAGAGGCCATGAATTGTGGGGTCTGGTTCATATCCTCAATTAGCAGCTTAAGTGTTTGAATCATTTTCAAGGAGCTTGACTTCTTCATGGCATGGTCTTACCCCAAATGGAACTTGTCTTGATGATATTTCTCCAACTGGGTAACAAAGGTTGGGGTTGTCCCAGGCCCCAAAACGGCTCCCCATTTTGTCATAAAACTGTTGGGAGAATTTAAGGTCTCCTGTCAGATTGTTTCCACTTAGGTACAGTGCATTGAGAGAAGGAAGAGTTTCTAGCTTTGGTGTAAGGTTGCCTGTAAGGTGGTTGTTACGAAGACCCAAAAACCTCAATCTCTTTAACTCTGTTATGGACTCTGGTATCTCCCCTGTCAATCCCATGTTAGAGAGTTCCAGAATGACCAAGTTCTGAAGGTTTTCCCAATTTAGGCCACTGATGCTTCCACCAATTGGATTGTTGGATAAGGCCAATTCTTCTAAGGAATATATCTCTTGAATTGACAATACCAATCCACCTTGAAATCTGTTGTTTCTTAGGTCCATGAGGGTCAGATTCTTGAGATTAGCAAACACTTTCAGCAGATTGCCTTCTAAATTGTTGTTGCTTACATCAAGCTTCAATAATGAAGTCAAGCTTCCCAGAGACGAAGGCAAAGGCCCAGAGAGTGCATTTCTACTTAAATCCAATATCAGTAACTCACTTAAACCGTTGAAAATATCTGGAATCTGCCCACTGAAAGAGTTCTCTGCAAGAACAAGTCTCTTCAGCTTCATGAGATTGCCTATATCTGGTGGTATTTCCCCTGTTAAACCATTTCCCAGTAATACCAGAGACTTAAGGTTCTTGAGGAGACCAAAACTTTTAGGGATTTTTCCAATGAGACCTGGATTTGACCGAAACTCCAGTGATTCTAGGTTTCCATAAAGTTTCTCCCAGTTTTCAGTTGGGATAGTAACTGGATGCTTGTCTCTGGATAGAAAGCAGTTGAAGAAGGACAGAGATGCTAGGTGCTTGAACTCAAACAAGTGAGGCCTAAATTCTAACTTCTGGGAGCAAGATATAGAATTTTCATGGATGGGTCCAATATTCAAGGCAGTAACATACCAAAACCCGTTAAATAGATCACAAGAGACCCCCTGCAGTAGAATCCAACAAGGAAATTATGGTTAAACATTAAATACAATTGGTGTTCTGGAAAATTTTAACTTTTATAATGACATTCAACTAATTTGCGGACTTTGATAAAGCATCACTGAGTAAAGAAGCTGAGAATCCCCCTAGTTTTGGACGCAAGTGTAGAGCTAACACCTAAGCCAAGTGACTTTTTCTTTTAGCTCACTTTGTTTAGCTTGCAGTATAATGCAGAATGCAGAAGTTCATCAAGTTCAAACATAAAAGCAGGGTTAGAACAAAAAAGCTTGACTACTAATAGGGAAGAAATGGCTTTAAATCGTCTTATATTTAACTGCTCTTTAAGATGTCTAAAAAGAAAACCTCAAAATAATGAACTAAAGTATTAAACCATAACATCAAATATTCCTTGTTATTAATTTCTCCCCTGAATTTCATGAATACACAATGGGTATATGATAATATGAAGCTCGAACCAGAGAGAGATTTGAAATGTTGAAGACTTGAATTCTGATCCCAGCAGAGTGAAAAAAGGCATTTGCTTGGACGTTCATATTTTTTTTGCAGTGAGGTTGTACGGTTAGGTACAGAGGGTCGAAAAAGGTACCTGAATGGGAGTCCACCCACAAGGATCCGGATAGAGATCTGAGCCATTCCACCTATTTCCAACGAAGCCTTGTATGGTAGAGTAGAGAGCTTCAAGCTCTGTCTTCTCCATTGGAGCCGCTTCAAGCTCTTCTTGTCCAAAACAAGTTGCACCCAGAAAGCAAATAAAGAGAACTAAAATCCCATGACTTGAAACAGCATTGATGCTTTTCATGGTGTTGTATTTCAAGGTAAGAATATCAAGCACAAGAGAAACTCAAGATGGAGGAGAATAAGTCGCTTGGCTTGAAACCAAGAGCATTTCTAGCTTGATGCATCACATCCACATGGCCATTTCACTTTCATGGCGCAGACAGAATTAAAATGGATGAAACAGGGGACTCAATCGCCCAAAATAGAAGTGGGTATCATGATAAATACCAACATAGGACCCTACAGAGTACTACTCTTGTTTTGGAGGACTCAAAGAGGAATCAAGAAAGAAATGAACAAGATCCTAAATTTTTGCTCAAAACTGAATAGGAAACAAAGGGAACGACGGCAACCCAAAAGCACAGAGGAGAAAACCTTACCTCTTTTCCTTTTCTTCCTCCTTGTGTTTTCGGAAAAGCTAAGTGGGTATAAGCAGAGAGAGAGGACACAAAGCAAAATCAAAGCACAGTTCTCGAAGCCCCAAAAGGACTTAATAATAGTAATGACTCTAATAAGAACAGTGAAGCAGTAAAACTGAGAAGCCTATAAAAATGAAAGCGAAAGCTATAGGGTTGCCTTCTATATATACGGCCCTGCTCGCTCTGAAATTTGCAAACACCCCTTCTGATTACCACTCTGAATATGAGATAATAATTGTGGAAATTTAAAGTTTTGATGGCAAGCGAACCAAAGGGATTGGTAGTTGAAGGGAATAATGGCTGCAGAAAAAGATTAAAGGGTTGAAAATTGAAAATGGCTTTAGGGTATAAAAACGGAAGATGAAGAAGAATGGTGAAGAAGGAGGAGGAGGGGACCATTATCCATGCAAAAAGAAATGATGCATGGTGCATGAAAGACAAATGATCTGATTTTGTTCGGTAGCATGCTTTTGTGGGGTGTGGGGTTTTAACAGTTCTCTGAAATTTCAGCAACAAAAAGGACGTGAGAGAGCGCAAGCACTGTGCTTTGAAAGCTAAAGCTAACCATATTGCTTTGGTTGCACTTGCTGCCTGTAGGCCTGGACCATTTCTTGTACCTCTATGCCTTTTGGCTTTTTTTCTCTCTTCGTATTTTGTACCAAATCACATATTTATGGTACCTCGCATCACAAGAAGTACACCTTTTTTTTTTTTATGACATTTTGGGCCATGAGGTATCCATGATTTTTCGAATCCTAAACATCCGACTGATACGAATCAAACATTGTAAGATCACTTCGGGTAGCAAGCTTTATACAACAAAATTTAACGTAGCTGTATACAACAATGTACACATTATTTTATGTGATATTTCAATCAATCTTTTTCTTCGAATAACAAAGGATTGGGATATGATAAACTTCACAATTCAACGTGTTTTTTTAAAAAAAAAAATTTATACAATTAAATATACACAAACACACGAATATGTTAATGTTAGGACACTATCATTTTGACAATTTGCCATTAACAATGCATTATGTGTTTGATGTAAAGTTTGTTAAGTAGACACTTACCAAATTGAACTGAAAATTTTCAATGGCTATTCTGATTTGCATTCACTAAACTAGCCTTTTCATATAAATTTTTTGTTTTGTAAACTGAGCCTGAAAAGTAACCAAACGTTAGTTAGAACAAAAAAAAGTTTGTTTTTCTAAAACTCGCAAAGGAATTCAAATATAGTTTTGAAAGTCAATTATATAAGTACTCACATATGATTCATCAACAAAGTCCTTGCATAAATAACTATTGATAGAATAGTCAACATATCAGCGTATAACTTGATGCATTTTTTCTTGCATAATTTAATGTGAGTCTAATTTATAAATAATACTTTTCGGTCCTTAATATAGACCCAATTTTTGAGTTAGTTCTTATCAGTTTTCTCTAAATTACCCCTATGGATTCTCCCTCAACCATAATCAAATAAAAGATGGAGAGTGGTATTAAGAAAGATGATTATGGTATTTTAGGAAAAATGTGTTACTTTTCTTATAATTAACTAACTTACCTCACTTCTTTAATTTAATCAAATTAGTTAAATAGATCTTATATTAAGGACAGAGAGTATAACGTTTTATAAGTTATTGATATAAGATCTATTAAAAATGGCATCAGCCCGACTATCTAATTCAAATTCAGTTTTTGCGTGTTTAATAGGCATGTTGTAATGAAATTAGATGAATTAATGTTAATCCAAAGTTTATAGTGAGTTTATTTTTTTGGCCAAGGAGTTTGTATGGATCAAGTTGAATAATCATTTGATGAATTTATTCATTAGAGTATATATTTTGGCCAAAGATACCAAGGGGGAAAAAAAAAGACACAAGAAGAATTGTTAGGAAAATCTATCACACCCCACTTTTATTATTTTTAAACAAGTTGAGTGTAATTTTTCTTTAGCTATATCATATGTGAATGTTTTTTATTTCGCACATGATTAAAGATGAAACTAGTTTAGGTGCTTATATCTAAGATGAGAGTCCAAAACTCATATTATTTGAGCCGTTCAGATCAGATATGAACGGTCCACATTTATTTTTTAAATAATTATTTTAATACATATAGAATCTAAAATAAAAAAATCTTTTTATTATCACATTTTAACATATATTTTTTTATTTAAAAATAAGTAACTAAAAACATTAAAGATGGCCTGTTCAGATTTGATCTGGCGGTCCAGAAGAATTGAGCTGGTGCTCACAGTTTTGATCAAAGATAAATTACATACAATAAAAAAAAAAAACACTACACCTGCCAAAGATAGATTATGCTTGAGTCATAAATAAATTTCAAATTAATCTAACGAAAGATATTTCAGTAACTTTTTTTTTTTGCAAGTTTGAAGATTAAAATAAAAAAATTATAAAATTATAATCGGATAAGAAACAAAACAAAAGAAGAATGGTTACAGAAAGTCTCTTTCACGCCACATTTGTCATTTTTGATAATTAAGGGTTAATAATATGATTAGAAAAGTATACCAAATCAGTAATAAGTCACAAGTACCCAGGCTCATTCACCCTCAAGATGCAGATAAACTTTAATCATAGAATATAGGCATATAGGCTGTAGGCATAGGAGGAGGACCACACTGCAAATAAAATTTATAGAGGAACATTGAATCATAAATATCTTCAAAAGCCTAAGACCCATCTACTTGCTGCGCATTGGAGGCCTAACGCCCATAGCCTCATACGTCTTTTTCTACCCCCGCTTTGTATTCTTCTTTTATTCAATCACCAAACCCTCCTCTGCACTCACCCCACCATCCGCAGTAAACATTCATGTCAAATATAAAAATTAGATAATTAATTTATAAAAAAATATTAATTAGATTAGCTGTTTAAAATAAATAATTATTATTTTTTAAAATATTTTTATTAATTATGTACCTTAGATAAAAATTCTTTAACATGTGTAGTTATTACATGGACTATTTTAAGAAAAAGTAAATAAATATAAAAGATAAGATAGACTGAGATTTTTATATTTAAAACAAAATTAAATTTATAATTAGCTCTTATATTAGGAGCAGGTAGTGTGCTATAAAAACACGTCTTGGATATATATATCTCAATAATATCAGTAAATCAATAAAGGGTAAATTATACTCTTAATCTTTTAACTTTATATAAAATTTTAATTTGATTCCTTAATTTTGGTCAAAAAATTGATTCCTTAATTTTAAAAATTATATTTTTAGCCATTTAACCTTAAAAACCATGAGGAAAAAATGATATTGAGATATTAAATATTAATAAAATGTTTTTTAATGTTAACATATTAAGTTTAATTTTTAAAATAATCATCATTGTTACAAAAAAAAATTATCATCTAGAATTAACAATTTTATTATTTAAATATTAAAAAAATATTTTTTAAAGTTGATGGATGAAATTGAATTTTTATGTAAAGTTAAATGTATACTTTTACCATGAGTAAATTAATCTCCTGATCAGTTCATGCATAGTTTTAAAAAAAGTTTTTGAAATAATAAAATTTACAGTAAAATGTTCAAAAATAAAATTAATCTTAAAAAATAATTTGTGGCATTGTGGGAGGCGATTTCCGTTAGAGGGGACTGGAGGTGCTGCCGGCGGGAAGCAAGGCTGAAAGCCAAGGTTGGAGCGTCCCCTTGAGCGCGGTCGCGCGAAATGCGCCACGCACCGTGTGCCACGTACGTTTACGCTCGTACCTTTGCATTGCAATGCCCAAAACAATGGGCATCACAAGTGGCAGTGCCACATATTTGGACAAAATTAATTTTTATTTTATCTAATTTCTATAATTAAGAGTTAGAATAAAAATCAGTTAGTATAATGATATTTGGATTAACTTTATAAAAGTCAGTTTGATAAATTAAAACTTATTTAGATAAGTAATAAAAAAATTAAATTTAAATATAAAATGACTGAATAGAGTATCGTTTTCCTTCAAACTAATTTGTTTGACTTATAAATTGATTTGTAATATAATGATACACATAAATATTTTATAAAGATTATGCAACATATGATACAATTAAATAATTTATTTAACTTTATTAATCTCTTTAAAATAGTTTATTGAGTCTTATATTAAGGACTTGAGATAATATAGTGTAACGTCCCAAAATTTCTAACCCAGAAATAGAAAAATATGTCACACCCTGATATCTTAACATGATTAATGAAGGAATTGGGGTTGACCAAGACCAAGTGAGATAAAAAGATAGATAAGCAGCACAACAATTAAAGTGAAAACTAAAAAATGATCAAATTGTCATTTTTTAAATGATTGGTCTATAAAGGACATTATTATAATTAGTGTCTGAAAATCCTAAAAATTTTCAGTGAATCATGAAAAATAGAATTAATACCGTAGAACGGTATTTGAGGACTAAGAAGTAAATACAGGTTGAAAATAATTTATTAAAAAATTATTTTTAATTATTAATATTTTGGCTAAATTAGGGAAAATTGGCCAATGTGAATTATTAAAAATACCTAGAGATCTTAGAATTATAAAAAATTAAAAAAAAATCATTTAGGAATTATGGAGATTCATAAAATTATTTCCAACCCTAAATGATGAGGAGATTAGCTTTAATTAAATTTAAAGCTAAATTAATATCGGGAGATTATCTGTTTTTATGGAAACAGCAATTTAAAGAGTTATAGAAGGAGAAAAATCATGAAATTAATTAGCAAAGTTTCCTTTACTGAGATATAATTAATGATGATCCGATATAAGAATTATGAAATATTAGAATTTTTTTGCTATCAGATAAAATAAACCAATATTATATTAAGATTCAGTGGACTGTCAGGACAACTGTGGTGATAAAATTTTTGACAAAATGTCAAGGACATATGTCATGCCCAAACTGGCCAAGAAAGAGAAAAAGAAAAAGAAAATAATAATCAAGTTAGATTAAGATACCTATGGTTAAGTCATCTTCCATAAGATGTTGACACATGGCAAACATGGTTCATTGGATGGTTAGGATTTAACCATCTATCTTTGAAAAGTCAAAAGCTTCTAAAAGGGTAATTAGCCAAGTTAATCAAGGAATCAAGAGAGTTAACCTTGATTAAAGCCTAATTAATCTTAATGGATAAGAAGAGATGACATAAACCCTAATGAGTCACCATCCAAGTGTCAATATGTTAAGCCATATAGCTTGAGATTTGTACATTTGGAAAGAGGTAAAAATTAGAAGGCCAAGATCAAGTCTCATGCAAGAAGGGCATGTGTGAAATTAATGGAAATATGAAGCCTATAAATACCCCCACATGTTTATTTCGTGCAAGGCCATTCAAGTAGGAAAATTCTTGCAAAATTTCATTTAGAGAGAGAAAAAGAAGAGTTTTAGGGAAAGGAAGTCACTTGGAAGTAAGGTAAACTTCTATAACTATTCTATTTCAAGTTATAATGGTTATATGTTGGTTTTATGTTATTTTGATGATGATGAAAAGTCATTTTCCTAAGAAGAAGTGCTGCCCAAATTTCATCAAAATGGATGGGAAGGGATTGGATTTTCATAAAACTTATATGATCAATGGATTCTACATGAAAAATTATATAAGAAAGGCCCAAGAAAGTTCAAAAATCAAAGCTAGAAAAATAAACCCTAAAAATCAAGAAAAAGGGGTTTGGGGGGTTATGTTAAGTTATGGAGTTGTGATAATGCTTAATGTTGTGTCATTGGTTGCCTAATAGGCTGTACACAACAAAGGGGCAAAGATCTATTCAAGAGGAAAAAATTCAAAAGGAAGGAAAGTATTCAAGGTAGCTTTGCAATCCATTATATTAGAGTGTCACTTTACTTTGTATGATTATGGCTATATGTTTTGCTAACTTGTTATGCTATGAGGTGGATGAGAATGTTATGTTATATGATGTTGCCTCCATGCAATTTATGCCTTGGCTTATGCTATGGTAAGTGCCATGAATATTTATGATGATATGTTCTTGCCATAGCATAAACATAAAGTTAAAGTATGTATACATGTAGCTTGATTTACAATGTATCGTGTGATCTTGATAATGTATGCAATTGCTACTAAAATTCTCTAAGAATCTTACCCCAATATTTAAACAAATCCTATCGCCTTCAACATCTACGGGTAAAGAAAGGGAGTTGGCTCTTATTTGAAGAGATACTAAGCCATAGCGACTTTGTATGGTTTTGAACCTTTCTATTTTGGAAGAATGTAATGATAAGTATGCTTTAAGTTTCCGATAGTATGATTAAGGTTAGAAGTATACAAGTATGATTAGAATAGTCCAAGCATGTTGGAAATAGTTAGTATAGTTAATGAGAGTATGTTATGATGGTAAATAGTCAATTAAGTTAAATTACCCTTTTAAGGGGATAAAAAGTCAACCAAAATAAACCAAAATTTGACCAATGATCATTTGAGTAAACGAGTGAGTTAGGTTATGAAATTTGGTGAGCAAAGAGATCTGATTTTTCTCTTTAAAATGAGAGGTAGTTTGCCTGATTTTGATAATCGAGCAGAAAGTTATGCCTTTTCAAAATTAGGTAAAGATAAGGTAAAAATAAAAAAATGACTAAATGAACAATAAATTTTTCAAAAAAAAAAAAATTGGGCTTGAATTTCAAGGCAATCAGTCTATAAACTACTTTTCTCAAAATTTTATCCAAAGAGCTTTTTATAGAACTTGAAATTACTTGATTTCGATTTTTCTATGATTAGTTATGAATTTTCAAAGTTTACCACATTTTAGGATTATAGTGAATAATAATCTGAAAAAGAAAATTTTCAAACTTGATTTTTCATAACTTGTAGTTTTCAAAAATGATACCAAATGCTTCTGCATGGCAAGTTAATTGGTATAAATTTAAGGTGTGACATATAGCATATGTACTACCTCCAATCCTAATTATAAGAGCTAATTAACTAATTTGATGAGATTAAGGAAAGAAGTTAAGTTAATTAAATGTAACAAATAGGGTTTGTCTTTCCTAAAATATCCTTACTAATCAAGTGTATTGGCTAGAATTACCATTGTTAGAAGGATTATTTTGAAAAAAATACATATATATGAGAGACAAAGTGGATTGGAGTCTTATATTTAGGACGAAAATAAAAATCAAATAAGGTCTTATATTAAGGATCGGAGATAGTATATAATTTGATAAATTCAAGAAAAATAAAAAATAAAAAATAATTAAATTATTACTAAAAATCAAATTATTAGATTAAGATGGGACCCACTTAAATACTCTTTATCTTCTTTTCATCCCTATTTGCTTTCTCTCTCCATGCTGGCATATACGGAAGCTCAAAATTTCATCGTCCTACTCTAACTAAGGCATAAAACCAAACCAAACCACCAGTTATCTTCAACTAAGATCCAAAGGTCAGTTTCACATATTCTCAAATACTTTTGGGGCCATCAACGCTGATCCAAACACACCATTCGAGTGGCAAAGTATTTTGAAACACATTTTTTTTAATTTAATTTTATTTTAAACATATTTTGACATGTCAAAATTATTACAAAAATGGTTAAAACAATCATAAATTAATCAGCATCACCTATTTGTCATTTCAAAATTCAAAAAAGTATTTTTTTATCCTTATGCCTGAGCAAGATATTTTAAGGCCAATCCTTCCTGGTGATCACTTTGGACCGGGCATTTGAAAAAATAACTGGCAGGTGATTGGGCCCTATGTGTTGTCAATTGGGCCCAGCGGGTATTTTGGAAATACTCTGTCGGAAGTTGAAACCCATAACTAATAAGGAACTTAAAAAATGAATGACTAATGTCATTGGTTTTTTGTTCCTCTTCAAATGGGTACATGAACTCAAACCAGCAGATCCTAGCCCAGTTTATATTTCATTGCTTTCACACACACGTGCGCGCACACACATAGAGTTGGTAATAGGGTTCAACCCGCCAAACCGTTAAAAATAACGGGTTAGGGTTGGCTAAAAGCCAATTCGTCAGTAAACGAATCTTTCTAACCAGCACCGTCAGGCCCGCAACCCGCCGCGGGTTAGCCCGCCAACCCGCGGGCTAACCCGCATATATATATATATTTTTGTTTTTAACATTTTTAAAAATTATTATAATTGTATTATTATATATGATATTATGTCTAAAAAATTAAAAAAAAACCTATATAATTTATTTGGTATTTCCAATCAAATATTTCAAGAAAAAAATAAAAATATCATTATATTTTTTTTAAATATTGAATTAAAAAAATAATATTAAAAGATTAAAAAATTAAAAAAAAAGTAAATAATTATTGACGGGCCAACCCACCAACCCACCTTGGAGGGTTAGGGTTGGCTAAAAGCCAACCGCCTTCAAACGATGCTTTTCAACCCGACCCATATGAGTTGAACCCGCCACGGGCCAACCCGCAACCCGCAGGTTGGCCTGTATTACCACCCCTACACACACAGACACAAACTCTGAGTGGGCATTTAGCATTTTTGAAGGGGTATGGAGAAAGAAAGATGGAGAGAGATAGAGAATTCATTATCTTAATGTTTTACACACACACCCACTATTTTTTTTTTTTTTGACCATCACACGCACACTATTACTCTTTCAGTTTTTAATTACCAATCTAAATAGCTAATTTACACAATTGTTGTTGATTTGGTTATAAGACCCTAACTTCCACAATTAGCATATTAATTTTTCATAATTTATTTATGTTTACAATTATTTTTTTATAATCTAACATAACATATCAATATATTGATGATATTTTAGATTTGGATTTGCCCCCGCAAGTAAATCTAGTCATGGCCAAGAAGTACATTGCTGTTGGACTCTATCTCTCTGATCAGGACGGACGAGTCCAAATATGCTGACGTGGGCCCTTATCATTTGTTTTCATTTCCAGATCGAAAATATAAATATATTTACCAAAAACCACAGGATTCAGATATTATCAATGTTCATATTTCATTCGCGAGGCGATGAACCGATTGTGAAGCGTTAAACCTAAGAGCAAGACAATACCCAAACCTTAACCCTAAGGCGTGCCACAATCATTCTTGGTTTATGATTTGATTGATTTGTTGGCTTCTTTAATTATGGCATCCGAGAGCGCTTCTCGATCTAGTTCTGCCGCCGATTCTTATGTTGGCAGTTTGATAAGCTTGACCTCCAAGAGTGAGATCAGATATGAAGGCATTCTATACAATATTAACACCGACGAGTCTAGTATTGGGCTCATAAACGGTATTTTCTCTTTAATTCTTGTGAGAATTTGTTGCCGATTTCATCTGGGTCTGATTTGTTTTCAACTCAATTTGGGTTCATCAATTTTAGATCTATGAAGTTATGGCTGATGTTTGTTTCTCGTTTTCAGAATTATTTGTTTCTTTTTCAAACCTGGTTTATGGCTAAGGGCAGTGACTTCTTGCTGTAAACGAGGGTTTTGACCTTTTTCTTTTTGTGTATTTGCTTTGAAAAATTGTAAGAGGTCTAACTGTATTTCACTGGCATTCCGGTTGCATGTTTTATGATGAGCTGATGGGCTTTGTGCGTGAATTTGATTTGGAATGCGTGTCGGCTGCCGTGGCGGTTTCGTTTGTTTGTGACTTAGTGTTGGGAAGTCTTTTTCATAACTAATCTAGTTTCGGAGGGTTTTGTCAGTGTACTTAATCTCGCTGGTCAGTGAATGATGAACTTGTGCACTTATTCACTCCTTTATCATTTTGGTCATCTCTATTTGATGCTTGCGTCTATGACTTGCCGTATTGATCGGAATATGTTATTACTAATATACAATGGAAAGTGAAGGTGCTGGCTAACTCAGCCGGTGAAGTCTTTTCGATTGGTAGCAGGCATTAGGAATTGAATTTGGATTTCACCCGAGTCGGGAGGGAGTGTTATCTCTAGTTCAGTCACTTCAGTGACCCGCGCTAATGGTCTGTAAACTGATTTTAAAAATTTAAACTGACATTGGCGTATGAAAGTTAGCTTGTTTAATTATATTGAACCTTTTCCTTTCTGTTAGTGTATAAAATTGGAAGTGGAAGTTTATGAATTTCATTTGAAGTTCTGCCATTGCTTCAGGCTTCAGCTCAGCCTAAGAAGCAGCCGTTTAAAGAAAACAGTGCTTTCTTATGGAATATCTAATTCCGTTGGTTTCTTTCTTTCTTTCTTTTATCAATTATAATCAATCATAGCATGGGTTATGTGATTTCTTCATCACTTTCGTGATTCCATTCTAAGAAGCATGAATGCACCCTAGGCACAGTCACATAAGGATGTTGACATGGCACCAAGATGTCAGTTGGACTCTCTATTAGAAATGTATGGTTTTATAGGTTCTATCCATGCAAACAAACTGTCTGTTGATGGTTGATTGCTTGTCTTGCTGCCTGAGTTAATTTGGGGAAAAAACCATAATTCATCTGTTTATTTTAATATCCATGCTTATAAAGGGATGCCTCAATGATTGCAAATAAATTAATAAATAAAATAAGAAAAGTTAATGGCTAATTAAGTGGACACACATGTTTTGCTGTTTGCTTTCATATTTGACAAGGCGTTTTGTTTAGTGGATGACAATTGGTGTGTATAACTACGTGGAAGGATTTATTTTACCAATTTGGATGTTTGTGGCTTCAAATACTGTTGGCTTGTTTCAAGAACTGCATGCCACTAAAGACTTATTCATATGTTTATTGGTGTAAACAACTATTGTGGTCTACTTACTCTTCTAGTTCTGTGAGGCAGTGCGATCATTTGGAACAGAGGGGAGGAAAAAGGATGGCCCACAAATTCCTCCTGGCGACAAGGTGTATGAGTATATACTGTTTCGTGGGAGCGACATCAAGGTATCCCACAAGGAACACATCAATATATATATATATATATATATATATGTATTTTTTGAAATCATCGTGGTTTTAGGTTTTTATGGGACAAGTATCTTGCTAATGGTGTTGGAAATTCTTTGGTGTCATTTGCCCAGAGAGGCATGTCATTCATGTGACTTCGACACTACGTCATTTTTTGCCAATCCAGATGCCCTACATCTTTTCATAAAAATTTTGTGACCCAAGCTTTGTTTAGAAGTTACTGCCTGCGGACTTTGAATAGTTCTGTATATTATCACGAACCTTATCAGCTGATATATATGCTATTCTTTTCCTGCACAGGATTTACAGGTTAAATCTTCTCCACCTGTACAGCATGCTCCGCCAATCAACAATGACCCTGCTATTATTCAGGTAAATGAGATGTTTTTGATGTACACAAGGACCAAAGTAACAGTAAATGTCCCCTAAAACTATGAAATTGCTCTTGCAGTCTCACTATCCTCGCCCAGTCACTACATCTGCCAGCTTACCTTCATCTGGAAGTGGGCCTTTGAATGATCTTAATTCTCATACAACTCAGCTTGGAATGCCTGGGTCAAATTTTCAGGGGCCCTTGCCCTTGTATCAGCCGGGAGGGAACCCAGGATCATGGGGAGCCTCACCAGCTGCCCCAAATGCAAATGGTGGTGGTCTTGCTATGCCAATGTATTGGCCAGGATATTATGGTGCCCCAAATGGCCTCCCCCATATACCCCAGCAATCTTTGCTCCGACCACCTCCTGGCTTATCAATGCCTTCTACAATGCAGCAGCCAATTCAGTATCCTAATTTCAACCCTGCTCTTCCGACTGGATCTTCAACTTTGCCAGAACTCCCTCCATCTTCAGTCTCTGCCAGTTCTAGTTTGCCTGTTGTAACATCTGCGTCTTTACCACCACCAAATCTGGCATCAACTTTACCTCCAGTACCTTCTGCTACATTAGCTTCTGAAACTTTGCCTGTATCAGTGCCAAACAAGGCACCTGCTATTTCACTTGTGGCAGCCACACTCGCAGCTAACCTACCATCATTGACTCCTTTGGTTGCCTCCAGTCCAGACGTAAATGCTATAGTGCCACCAATCTCCAACAAACCTAATGCAGTTTCAAGTTCAAGCTTGCCATATCAATCTGTATCCCAACTGGCGCCTGCCAATGTTGGGACAACAAGTTCTGTCCGTACAGAAACAACAACCCCTTCTCTGGTAACGCCAGGTCAATTATTGCAGTCGGGACCAACAATAATTTCTTCGTCTAATTCTGTGCAAACCTCCCATAAGGATGTTGAAGTGGTTCAGGTCTCATCAACATCATCTCCAGATCTTATTGTGCCAGTTTCTGCTGAAAATCAACCCCCAATACTGCCATTGCCTGTGACTTCACGGCCTACTCACAGGGTATTCTTCCTTGCTCTCTTTGTTTTGTGTGTACAAAAATATATGCAGATAGAATTTGGTCTTCCATGTGCTTGTATGTTTGTATGCCATGGTAGGCCTTTCGGAGACTGGAGAATTGTTACTGATCTGGATTATCTTTTTGTCTTCTCTGGCTACTTGATTAAACTCTCACTTTGAGCTAATATAGGCAGGTCATACTGTGTATTATGTTAGCTGGTTTCTTTCAAATTGGTAATTTATGGATTTTTTTCAGTTCAAATTCTCTCTCCCCCCTTCCTTCTCCATTGTATTTTGTCCTTCTGTTCCGTGGTTTGAATTCAAAGTAGGATTTATCTGGATTGATTTATGGTTTATTTGCAAAAGCGGTGGCTGATATGGGCCACTTTTGATGTATTTGTTTTTACTTAAAATTCGGACTTGTTTCATCATATGTAGTATGGAAATATGACTGCATGAGCATTTTTATCACATCGAATTTTCTTTCCATTTCACCCTGTTATGATTTCAAGGACTCTGACAATTTGGTTGCACTTTCTTCAGCCTAGTGGAGGCGCTCAAAGTTATCATCATCATAATTATGGTTACAGGGGTCGTGGAAGAGGAAGAGGAACTGGGGTATGCTGCTTGATCTACTGTTTAATTTTTGCTAAATTGGGGATAACTGACCTTATGCGTGTATAAGTTAAAGCTTATTGGAATACTTGAAGCTTTTAAAAGTGGGGATCTCTTATTTTTAGTTTGAAGTTTGTACATCACTGCCCCTTTTTGATTATGATGTGACATTTTCCGTTACTAGCGTATCAAATCAATGCTTACAATATTTCTTGACATGGCTGTGAGATCTTTAATAGTTGAGTTATTTTTGTATTTCCCGTCTTTTAATGCTTGTTGAGCAATTCAGATGACATGAAGGAAAATTATGGTAGATCTGCATAGGGTTTCTTTCACTATTTTGAACTTTATTTGTTGGTTTAAATTACTGATATTTGTGAGCGCGTGCCTTTCTGCATGGGATTATAAAAATTGAAAATGATGATATTTGCAGGGTCCACGCCCAGTCACAAAATTTACCGAAGATTTTGATTTCATGGCGATGAATGAGAGGTTCAATAAGGACGAAGTATGGGGTCATCTTGGTAAAAGCAAGTCACATTCAAAAGAAAAAGATGGGGAAGAAAATATTAGCGATGAGGATGATATTCAAGATGGATACAATGGCGAAGAACCAAAAATGGATGTCAAGGTTGGTATACACAATATATTGCATGCAACTTGAAGCTTGGTGGTTCTGTCCGTGTGTTAAATAATTGTCATCGCTTTTCACCAGAAAAAATAATGGCCATTGCTTGATTCTGCTTTTCATGATTTACGCAGCCTGTTTACAATAAGGATGATTTCTTCGACACAATATCTTGCAATTCGCTTGACTATGATCCACAGAATGGAAGGACCAGATATTCTGAACAAATTAAGATTGATACTGAGGTAAAGTGTATATTGGTTTGACTCTTTTTTTTTTGGGGAGATACAGTATTCAATATATTTTTCTGATTCTGATGTGTGGTGCAGACATTTGGTGATTTTATGAGGCCTCGGGGTGGTCGAGGGGGCCGTGGCCTGTTACGTGGTGGTCGTTCTCGGGGTGGTTATTATGGGAGAGGATATGGTTATACACCAAGAGGTAGAGGACGTGGCATGTTGGGTCGTCCTTAGGTGGCTTTTTATGTTTTGAGTTTCGTGGGCAGAAGTCACTTCCTAAAGCAGCAAATTATCTAGAGGCTATGCTGCATTTTCTGTTTTCTCCGGTTTGTTTTTCCGCTCAATAAGTAGGACATTGGCTTAGCTCTTCATTTGCCCACTTTTGTTACCCTGAATCACCTGGCTGGATGGAAAAAATTCTACACCATTTTTATTTAATTAGTGAATCAAGAAGGTAAAAGGTTAGACTAGTTTCTTTGCAATATATGTGTTGTTAAGGAATGTAAGCAAATCAGCCCAGAATTATTTTGCATTGTAAATGCAAGTCACTTTTTTTAGGCATGCGATAGAGTCGTGACAAATTTTTTGCCGTTGTGCTAATGACTGTATTTATGGAAAATTTGTGAAGTAGTAGGACATGCATGTGCATGCTTAGGCTTTACAAATATTTGACTTCCAATATAACACGTAATTTAATTACTCAGTTTGTAGCTTTTAGCCAAAAAAAAAAAAAGTATTTAAGAATGTTTTACCAACATTTAAGAGAAGGTAATCATTTTATGTTTTTGGTAATGTTTCTAGGGTTAAAAAACTATGTATATGTTTTAAAGTTAAAAGATCAAACTGAATCCTGTATAAAGTCAAAGAGGTAAATATTTCTATTTTTAGTAAATATACTTTAATTTAATAATAAGTCCGAAAAAGTAAGAATAGTAAATTAGGAGTAAAATTGGAGGTTCATATAATAAATTTAATTAGGAGATTTATCTCCAGGAAAAGAATACTTACAGATAAGGGGTGAGGGGTATCGTTCTACTGAATTCCAAAATATAATTGGCATGTTCAGTCTCACTGTTTTTGAAGACGAGTTAGTGTCCTACAAATAGACAAAACTCACGTGAAGGCACATGTTTAACCGAAACACAATTGGAGAGGGCAAGCATGGTCCAGAATGGTTATAACACTGATTCCTGGCACGACCAGCCAATTGAGATTGACAATTTAAGCTTTCACCACTAAAGCCTAGGCCTTCTGGTTTCCATAAAGGGGTCAATTGAAAGGCTTATTTCCATATCGATGTCAGATTTGAAGGTGGACAAGTTATTTCTTTCAGATAGTGGGCTTCTTACTTGTCAAGCTTCTGCGGTGAGAATGTTGACCTTCGTTTTGAAAGAAAAAAACAGTTGAAAAGAACACAAATATTAACCAAATCCACTTATTCAAAATACATCCAGTGCACGCGTTTACAAAACTTTCAAACAAATGGAAATGTGAAAATGCATCTACCGTTAATCCAAAACAACTGGATGGTTATCCAAATGTCCCCCTTTCTATAACAGACCGGGAAGCTCCTGACCCACGCAAAATTCATGTTTGACTAGCCAATAGATTTAATAGTCTAATAACAGAACTTAGCAAACACATCCTTATACTTATGCAGACAGACAGACAGACAGATACAAAGCCAGATTCTTCGCTAGGAAGTGCCAAGAAGGGGATCAATCCTGTATGGCGTGGGAATCAAACACAAATTATTTTTCCTTCTAGCTGTAGTGGCAAATGTTTCAGTCATGTCTAAATCTTCAGGTTTCACTCTATTTGGGAATTCCCAATCAAAGTAGCACAATAAGCTGGCTAGAGGAAGCTCAATACTTGCTAAACCAAATGAAATGCCTGGACACATTCTTCTTCCTGCTCCAAAAGGGATGTACTCAAAGTTTGTTCCTCTGAAATCAATGTCAGAATTGCCTTGGAACCTCTCTGGTATAAACCTCTCAGCATCATACCAATATTTTGAATCTCTTCCGAGTGCCCATGCATTTATTATAACTTGAGTTTTGACGGGTATCTCATATCCATTAATCTGACAAGTTTCTCTGCATTCTCTTGGGATCAGTAAAGGAACCGGTGGGTGTAGCCTCAAAGTTTCTTTGATTACTGATTTTAAGTAACTAAGTTGCATCATATCACTATCATGAATTACTTTCTTTCCTCTAAAAGCATTTCTAACCTCAGCTTGTGCCTTTTTCATCACTCGTGGATTGCTCATCAGTTCTGACATAGCCCACTCCAATACAGTTGCTGAAGTATCAGTTCCACCACTGAACATATCCTACATTAATTATGCACAGAAAGTGATCTTTAACATCATCAAACCACTTGCAGATTCATAGTTAAATAAGGAAAGTATAGTACTAACCGAAATAACAGCTTTAATGTTGTCAGTTGTAATCGGGACATCAAGGCTTTCACTTCGCTGAATTCGTAAAAGAACCTGAACAAGATTTTCTTCTTCCAAGGCACTCTCGTCTCCTTCTCTCATATGCTTCTTTTGATTCTCTTGGACAATGTCCTCTAAAACCTTGTCAAATTTCTTGTGAAGCTTCATCAGCTTTGTGTTCATTCCAGTCATGAAATGAATAAGTTTCATTGAAGGAAATAAATCAGCAAACTGAAACCGTGCCAATTGTTCTAATGCTGAATGGAGCAATTTCACAAGCTCTTCACCATCTTTACGTTTGTCTCCAAATGCTACCCTCCAAACTATAGAATTTGTCAAAGTGTAAATCTTGCTTGTGAGATCCACTACTGAACCTCTTGATGATTGAATTGACTTTATGAGCTTAGACACCTGACGAAGTGAAGAAATATTGAAATTCACAAAGCGACCATAGTTAATCATAGTAGAATATTACTTGAAAATAATATCCAAAAGTTATAGCTAAGATCTGGAAACAAACATGGAGGTTTTTTCGCAGTGTTCCTCCGTGCAGTATCAAGATTAATCCAAGGTACATGATGTCAAATTGCCCGAATGATATGGACTAATTCAACGTTAAATATGAAAGTATTATATATTCAGTACCTCATCCTGTCGTATATAGGAGAATGATTGAACCTTCTTGGCACTTAGGAGTTCTAACGTGCATATTTTCCTCATCTGTCTCCAGTAATCACTGTAAGGAGCAAAAGCAATATCAGTTGCTCCATAAAACAGAATCTTAGCACTACAAGTTTGTGGCCTCTGAACAAAGGCAAGATCATGGGTTTTCATAATCTCTTTGGCCATTTCAGGGGATGATACTATCACTGTAGAAAGTTCACCAAGTTGAAGGTGCATGAGAGGTCCGTGTTTGAGGGATAGCTCATAAAGGGCATGGTGTGGAAGTGAAGAGCTTGCTGCTGCTAACTGATAAAGGTTTCCCAATACAGGAAGCTTCCATGGCCCTGGGATTTGGATCTTAGCTTTGTTTTTTGGCTTTGCAAGCCAAAGTAACAACAAGAGTAAAGGAATGAGGAAAAGCAAGGAAGCTGAAAATCGGCATTCCATAATGAATTCAAAAAATGTTAACTTGTATGAACTGATGCGTGTTCAAACGATATATAGAATTCAACTTGATTAACTCATTCAAAACTCTTAATTGGATCAACCAAGGGACGGGTCCACCTATTCATTGCTCTAATTTGTTGATCTGGTTGACTTGGACTAAATTTTAACACCATATATAAAATATGTGTGGATGACAATGGTGCGTGGATAAAAATATCGGACGAAACAGAAAATCATTAACAAGATATTTTGATCTTCTAAGGACATGTTGGGATCAACGTTTTCAACGGAAAACGTGCATTGTAATGATGCAAACCCACGTTATTGACATATAAATGCTCAATTAGATGTTTAGTTGAGCGTTTTTGCAAATGAACTTTTAGGTAAAGAGATAGCCCAACACTAAAGTTAATTTTTTGAGCTTTTGCCATCACAAATGTGGAGAGAGAAAAGATGGTAATGAAAAAAGATAAAATCACTTCTAACAAACCCAATAATTTGATACTACATATTCCTAATATAAGAGTTATATAACTAATTTAAAGATATTGATAAAATTAATTAAATTATTTATTTGTAATAAATTGATGTTGTCTTGTCTAAAATATTCTTATTAATTATGTGCATTAAAACTACCCATTAATAAAAACTCGTTAATATGTATAATTACTATAAAGATTGCTTGAGAACAAAATAAATAAATATTGGAGATAAAATATATTGAAATCCTATATTTAGTATATTCTTTTCTTAATAATACATTAAATATTTTTATAATTTTAATTTTAATTTTTTTAGAATTACCACATTTTATACATAATTAGTTAACAAAATTTATATCTTTTTAGTAATTTTACATCTAAACTTGCTTTTCTACACTTTATCCAAACAAGTTTACGTTTGTCAAATTGACTTTTCTACAAATATTAATCTAAATATAAATCACATTATATTAATTAACTTTTATCTTAACTTATATTTATAAAAGTCAGATAAAAGAAAGATTAGTTTTGCTCCGGCCAATTCAGACGCACCCTAAGTTTGTCTGTATAACTAAAATAGACTTTTCGACTTAAGCGAACCGTTCGTTTTATGGTCTTTAATTACTGGGGGTCAAATTAATAGGGCCCACAAATTGTCAAAATGGGGACGGACGTTTTATCTGTAAATGCCTCGCAGTCAAGCCAGCTGTACACGAAAGAAATATTTATACTCCTGTGATTATACTCATAGGACGGAATGATGAAAGAAATCTTTTTGTCATATTTATTTATAAGATGGAGAGAAATTTTTTTATATGAATATATAATTTTATGTTTCATTTATTATTATGTTAACTTTGTTCTCACGAGATATAATATATATTAAATAAGAATAAAGTTAAAAATTTATTAAAATTTAATTAAGAGTTAATGAAGTTTAAAATTTTTTTTGGTTTGTGTAAAACATGTTAAATGTGACTTATAAATAGAATAAAAGGAGTGGATTTCTTATCTCCTAATCCGTAATATCACATACTACTATATATACCCTCTCATGCTTTTTTTCCAAGACCCGGTTAATCATGAGGAGGGTAATATCTTTTTCGTAAGATAAGTTTTGCAATTCTGAAAAGAAACAGAAGATATGTGTCTGTTGGCCCAAAAAAAACAAGATGTGTGTCTAAATTGTTATTAAAAAAAAAGGTGTGTATAAAGATATCCCCAATAAATGATAACTAAAACCATAATACTAGTAAACTGGAATTCATTTGGAATTGTGTGAATCATTACATTTAATTAAGAGAAGAATTGGTTGGCAAAAAAATTAAGGGAAGAATTGAAAAATTACAACTAATAAATTTTACTTTCTTAATATCCATAAATTTCAAAACCTGATATTATAATTAAGGGCGCTTGTAGTTAGTTACATCTGTTTTATTAATTAAATCAACAATGAGGGGCCATGATTTATGACTGCAAGGTTTGTGAAGTGACCTTGGCATTTGAAAAAACTCACTCTCATTAATGATTTTTTTTTCGCCAATATTTTTTCTTGGAAAAATCCCAATAAAATCAGGTTAAAACACATAAATTCAAATTAAGACCCATACTTTTAAAAAATTTCTAATTAGAATATAGTCCTAATTTAAAATTTCTGAATATTGTTAAATGACCAAAATACTTCTTTTTAATTAAAATGAAAAACTGATTATTTAATCTTCTCAAGTGATCTCTCACCTTTTATGATTATTTTTAGGACCAAAAAAACACATAAATTTTTTTATAATATTTAAAATTTGTACATATACCTACAAGCTTCAAAAACAGCCCTAAAATAAATATTTTTAATTTTATGTTTTTAAATATATATTTTAAGTCTTGAAATATTTTAATTACAAAAAATATTAATATTATGTTCTTATAATTTATGTTAGTTTTATTTATTTAAGTAAACATTGAATTCCGACTCAAAAACGTAATTTAAAATCTTTAAAATTGTAAATACAAAATATTTATTTAAAGGGTATTTATATTGTAATTTAAAATGTTTGATTAAAATGTTCGACCCAAATTACTTTTAAAAAAAACCATGTTTTTGCTTGAACTTAAAAAAACTTATTTTTTCAAAAAATTTAGGTGACCTTAGGCCACACCGCATCTAACCCGCACTGCTACAGGTTGGCTCTTATTTGTACTACTAGCCTGTTTTACTACTTCTACCTAATTTCCTATATTCCTAATGTGCTGGATGGGTGAAAATGCTAAATTCAGCACAACACGACCAACAAAAACTAAATCAAGTCATATCATTATATTCTTCTAATCTTATTTATAAAGCAAAGAAAAAAGATTTTGAGTTCCTATTTTATACTTCTTTTAATTCAAAATATAAGGTGAATTTTATTCATTTACTTTTATCAAGAAATAAGTTAAAATCAGTTTAAAATAAAGAAAAATTACAATTAGGTCCCACCCAAAGAAATTAAATACAAAAAAATTCCTTGAAATCATGAAATTATTCTGAAATCTCAAGAGATCTTATTGCGATAAATTTTATTTGTTTAATTACCAAATTACTTTTTTTTTTAAATTTGCGTTGCCAACTGAAAAAGCAATGATTGACAACTTAAGGTGCAAGGATTAACAACTATAGTGGCAAGTATTGACAACTCATGCATTGTATTTTCTGATGTGTTGAGAAAATGTGTTGTCAATACCTGATGCTATAGATGTTAATCATTGCATCTTAAGTTGTCAACCACTGCTCTTTCAGTTGTCAATGTAAACTTAAAAATTAAAAAGAAGGATAATTTGGTAATTAAACAAATAAAATTTATTGTAAAAAGTCTCTTGGACTTCTGAATAATTTCATGATTTTAAGAGACTTTTTTGTATTAATTCTCTTGGGTGGGACCTAATTTCAATTTTTTTTAAAATAATAAATATATAAGGCGTGTTTTTTTTCCAGATATGCCCTTATTAATAAAGAGAATATGCAATAACTGAATAAAAAAGAAAGAGAATATATGTTATGGGTAAAATTAAAAAAAACTCATTAAATGCTCAGATAAAAATAAATGTTATCTTATAAAAAATAAGCTCTTCTAGCAAAGTTTATTTTATATTTTAAACCAAAGGGAGTAAGTCATATCATTAAATTTTTAGTATAACTGTATTATTTTACATTTTGTTTATTATTATGTAGATTGTACTTTTTTCAAAGTGTACATATTAAATAGGGATGGAGTTAAAAAGTTTTTTTAATTTTGAGATAGAATTAATGAGATTTAAAATTTTTCTTGATTCTGGTAAAATATGTTTAAATTGAGTTACAAATAGAGAAAAAAACAAATAAAGTATATAAATTTTCAATTTCCCTATCAAAACATTTTGAATATGTTTGTTTAATACAAGAGTGAAAAATCAAACTCCACTTTGAAAAGAACACAGTGTTTTCTCGATCCAATGCACATACAACAACAAGAAGTTTTATCCCACTAGATAGGGTTGGCTATATGAATCACACTACGGTATCGTGTTCTGTTAACAACTCAATCTTTAGATATGTTGTTGATCAGGAGGTCTCGGGCGTTCTTCTCGGTCTTCCTCTGTCCCCTTTTATGGGACTTCATATTGTCTGATTTACTCTCCTCACCGGAGCCTCCAATGGCCTTCTCTGCGCATATCTAAACCATCTTAAGCAATTTTCAACGATTTTCTCTTGGATAGGTGCCACACCGACTCTTGCTTTGATATTTTCATTTCTAATCTTATCTTTTCTTGTATGATCACATATCCATCTCAACATTCTCATTTCTGCTATCCTAACTTTGTGCTCTTGTTTTCCTTTTATCGCCTAACATTTGCTACTATACAATATAGCTGGTCTTACAACAGTTCGATAAAATTTTCCCTTAAGCTTCTTAGGTACCTTCTTATCGCAAATAACTCTGGTAGCCTTCCTCTACTTTAACTAGCCAGCTTGTATTCTATGTTTCCATCAATTTTCCCATCCTCATGTATAATGGATCATAGGTATTTAAACTTAGATACTTGAGGAATGATTTGATCCCCATCTTCACCTCCATATCACCATTGCCTCCCAAAATTACAATGCATATATTCTGATTTGTTTCTACTTAAACGAAAACCTTTTGACTTCAAAGTCCTTCTCTATAACTCTAATTTAGAGTTAATCTCTTCTTTTAATTCCGCCATGAGAACTATGTCATCTACGGACAATATGGACTTAGGGATTCTTTCTTGAATAAGTTTGGTTAGAATGTCCAGAACAATATTAAACAAGTAAGGACTCAAAGAAGATCCCTGATGTAGGTCAATCTTAATAGGGAAGTCCTTTGTCTCACTTCTAGGCGTTCCTACACTAGTAGTTATCCCTTCATGGATATCTTGTATGACTTTGATATAAGCAACCCGTACACTTTTCTTTTCCAAAACCTTCCACAGTACTTCTCTTGGCACATGATCATAAGTTTTCTTTTAGGTCAAGAAAAATCATATGTAAATCCCTTCTTTTACTCTTATATCTTTCCATTAACCCCCTTAGTAAATAGATTGCTTCAGTTGTGGATCTTCCCAGCATAAATCCAAATTAGTTCTCTAAAATAAAAGTCTCCAACCTCAACCTATATTCAATCACTTTTTCCCACAACTTCATTGTATGACTCATAAGTTTTATCCCTCTGTAGCTTGTACAATTTTAAATGTCTCCTTTATTCCTGTAAATAGGAACTAAGATGTTTCTCCTCCAACCATCCAGCATATTCTTATAGTGTAAAATTTTATTAAAAAGCTTGGTTAGCCACAATTCACCCTCATCACCCAAACATTTCCAAACTTCAATAGGAATACCATCAAGCCCAACGGCTTTACCATTGTCCATTTTCTTAAGAGTTGCCTTAACCTCTCCGATACGGATCTTGCGGTAAAAAGCAAAATTCCTATCATCTTCGTAATTAGCAAGTCCTGTGAGTCTTGAGTCGCATAATTACTTCCCTCATTAAACAACTTGTAAAAGTAAGCCTTCCATCTATCCTTAATATCACCATCAGTAACTAGCACTTTACCATCTTCATCCTTTATATACTTTACTTGGTCCAGATCTCTCTTTTTCCTCTCCTTTTGCTTCTCAATCTTGTAAATATTTCTTTTTTCCGCCTTTGTTCCTAACTCCTGATAAAACCCCTCATAAGCTTTAGTACATACTTCGCTCATTGCTCTCTTCATCTCTTTTTTAGTCAAACGATACTTTTGCCGGTTTTCTGCACCATTACATAAATGTATGGCCTTAAAACAATCTCTTTTTTGTCTGACTTTCTCTTGCACACTCTTATCCCACCACCAAGTCTCCTTATCTCTTTGACCACAACCTTTGGACTCTCACAAAATTGCTTTAGCTACCATACGAACCCTTGTAGCTATCTCTTCCCACATCATGTTCGCATTTCCCTACAACTCCTAAATCCCTTCCTCTAAAAGCGTCCTTTTGAATAACTCCCGCTTCTCACCCTTTAACTACCACCACTTAACCCTGGGTTTTGCCACTTGATGTTACTTTTGTCTGATACTCTTAAAACGTACGTCAAGGATAAGTACTCTATGTTGAGCAGTTACCCCATCTCCAGGAATCACTTTGCAATTAGTACACAATCTTCTGTCCGGATTCTTAATAAGAAAGAAATCAATCTATGATTCTGAGGCACTACTCTTATACATGATTAAATGCTCCTCTCGTTTCTTAAAACAAGTGTTGACAATCTTGAGATTGTATGCAAGAGAAAAGTCAAGAATAGATTGTCCTCTATTATTAAGCTCCCCAAAACCAAAACCACCATGAGCCCTATTGAATTGTCCTGCTTCCTTGCTGACATGTCCATTAAGATCCCTACCGATAAAATTTTTTTCTTCAAGTGGTATGCTTTGAACCAACCCCTCCATATCTTCTCAAAACTTATCTTTAAAGCATGCCTCTGTCCCAACCTGAGGTGCATAGGCACTAATGACATTGATAGGGTCCTTTCTAACAATTGCTCTTAAAGATATTATTCTGTCCTCAAACCTTTTAACCTCAACCATATTCTTTTTTCATGTTTCATTGACGATGATACCAACACCATTCCTTGCACTCACGTTTCCTATGTATCAAAGTTTATACTCTTCAAGTTCCTTGGCAACTTTTCTAGTCCATTTGGTTTCTTGGAGGTACAAGATATTAATCCTTCTGTTCCTCATAACTCCTACTACCTCCATAGATTTCTTATTCAACGTCCTAATATTCCAAGTACCAAATCTAATCTTGGTCTCATGAACTAACTTCGTTAGCAGCTTCCGTCCAAGAAAGTGCGGTAGCCCTTGCTCATTTCACACTACATTTGGGCGACGATGCAGCAGCTCTAACTCACTTCTCATTATACTCAAGCCATATAGCGTGTCACTTCTGGACAACGACCCAGCACTAGTATAATTACTTCGTTGATCCATGTTCATGAGATTCGACGGGTTTTTACATTGGTGTCGAGGGCCTAGCACAACCCTCCTCTCTTATTCGAGCTTAAGACCGGCTATACAGTATAGGCGGAGTTTCTAGATCCAATGCACATAGAGAACAAAAATTTAAACAAGGGTATGTAATCTCAAAATGTATCCACCAATCTAGAACAAGAACTGCACATTCAAAACAAACGGCGCCCAAATACAACAATCACGTACATCACACAATACGTAAAAATTACACTTTCTAAATAAAACCTTAAATTATGGTCAAATAACAATACTTTGAAAATACATCTTGAAAATTGTACAAGTAAATAAACAGATAGACAGAAAGGCAAGGTGGGTACTTCAATAGGAACTGTCAAGAAAAGAAGCAATTTTTGTATGGCGTGGGAACCAAACACAAATTGCTCTTCCTTCTAGCTGTAATACTAAGGGTTTCTGTCATGTCTAAATCTTTTGGTTTCATTCCATTGGGGAGTTCCCAGTCAAAGTGGTACCGTAAGCTAGCCAGAGTAAGCTCAATACTTGCCAAACCAAATAAAATTCCTGGACACATTCTCCTTCCAGCTCCAAAAGGGATGAACTCAAAGTTTGTTCCTTTGAAGTCAATATCAGACTTTCCTGGTTGGAACCTCTCTGGTATGAAACTCTCAGCATCGTACCAGTAATTCGGATCTCTTCCGAGTGCCCATGCGTTTATTATAACTTGAGTTTTGATGGGTATTTCATATCCCTTAATCTCACAAGTTTCTCTGCATTCTCTTGGGAGCAATGGCGGAACTGGTGGGTGTAACCTCAATGTTTCTTTTACTATTGATTTTAAGTAACTAAGTTGTGTCACTTCACTATTATAATCAATTATTACTTTCTTTTCTTTAAAAGCATTTCGAACCTCATCTTGTGCCTTATCCATCACTCTTGGATTTCTCATCATTTCTGACATAGCCCATTCTAGTACTGATGCTGCAGTATCGGTACCACCACCAAACATATCCTACAATTATGATAAGCACAAATTGATGATCATTAACGTCATCAAACCCACATGTTATGTGACAATAACTTAGGACATAGCCTATGATATATAAACCAACATATAGGTAATAAGTAGAGCTAACCCATATAACAGCTTTAACGTTATTGGTTGTGACTGGGACATCGAACCTTTGATCACCTTGCTGGATCGGCAAAAGAACTCGAGCAAGATTTTCTTCTGCCAAATCACTACCGTCGCGTCCTTCTGCTTTCTTAAGCTTCTTTAGATTCTCCAGGAGAATATCTTCTAAAACCTTGTCTACTTTCTTATGAATCTTCCACAGCCTTGATTCCATTCCAGTCATGAGACGGATAAGTTTATTTGAAGGAAAAAAATCAGCAAAGTAAAACCCACCCAGCTGTTTCCATACTTCATGGAGCAACTTCACGAGCTCTGCACCATCTTTACGCTTGTCGCCAATCGCTACCCTCATAACTATAGAACTAATCAAAGAGTAAATCTTGCTCGTGAGATCTAATACCGAACCTACTGATGATTGAACTGACCCTATGAGGCTAGATACCTGGTAAAGTAAGAAGGAAGACGATGAAGAAACATTGAAATATGATCAAAATTTAAGCAACCCTCTAGTCACATAAGAATTTTTAAGTAGAAATTGTAATCTGGTTAAGGATCCATTTTGACATGTTTTAGCTTTTCAAAAGCTGTCGTTGAAAACAAAAATGTGTATACTACTTTGGCTTAGATCATGACCATTTCACCTAGGGCACTTTAGACAGTAGGAATAATAATAGACCGGTCTAGAATATAATGACAAACATGTGAGTTTGTTAGCAATAGTTCATGTGTTTTAATGCGAAGCCAAGTATAAAAAATACTTCAAATCAGATCAGAATCTCATCTTGTCGTATATGGGAGAATGATTGAACCTTCTTGGCACTTAAGAGTTTCAGAGTACATATTTTCCTCATCTGTCTCCAATAATCGCCGCACGGAGCAAAAGCAATATCAGCTGATCCATAAGAAAAAAATCTTCGAGTAAAAGTGCATGGCCTCTGCACAAAGGCAAGATCATGGGTCTTCATAATCTGTTTGGCCATGTCAGGGGATGATACTATCACTGTAGAAACCTCACCAAGTTGAAGGTGCATGAGAGGTCCATGTTTGAGGGATAGTTCATGAAGGGCATGGTGTGGAAGTGAAGAGCTTGCTGCTGCTAACTGATGAAGGTTTCCCAATACAGGAAGCTTCCATGGCCCTGGGATTTGGATCTTAGCTTTGGTTTTTGGCTTTGCGAGCTGAACTAAAAACAAAAAGAGGAAGGCAATAAGAAGCAAGAAAGAAAATTGGCATTCCATAAGAATTGATTAGCTTCAAGTGTGAACTTGAAGTTGATACATGTTCAAACCGTATATCCACATGTGCGTGGCGGCTCCAAAATCATTTTAATAACATAAATGGAAGGATGACAATAGTTGGATAAAAATATCCAAAACAAGATAATTATTACTACATCCAGTCCTTAATATAAAAACTAATTGAGAGATTGGATTTGGTTTTGAATATAAGACTTCAATAATTTATTTCTTTTTTTCAAAATATCCCCATTAATTATAAAAGTTCCCACTAAGTGATAATTCCAATCATTTAATGTGTATATTGAAAAGAATCCTTTAGAGAGACTAACATACATTTGTGACAAATAACTATTTAATTAATTTTCTTAATATCTCTAAATTTATCAAGCTTTTATGTCAAGCACAAGCAGTAACTAGATATTTTCATCTTCTTAGGTCGTCGGTATAATAAAAAGACTTGTAGATTGAAGCGAACTGTTCATCTTAATTATATAGGGCTGGCAAATTGTCAAGATGGTGTGTGACATTTTATCCGTAGTACCCCACTAAGATTCCTGCCACTAAATAAGGGTACAGCCCACATCATATACAGTACAAACAGTAAATAAATGAATGAAAAAAACAAGATCGCATAATAACTCAAATGCATTAACAGAAGAAACATCAATTGGTGGGGGGAAAAGAGGGTTGTCGATCGCGAATCTTATTTTGTTCCTTCTTAGAATAATTTTCCCGTGCACCCCAATAGTTTTGGTTCTTTTTATGTACAACTATGACTTACGTCTCCGCTAAATCAAGGATAAAATTATATCCGATCCACTTATATGTATAATATATATTGATTAATATACATGGACACCTGTTTTTGATGACAAAGGCACTTACCTACCGGTTGAAAATAAGATTTTGCCAGACTAGATTAGCTTAAGCCTCCTATGCAGTGTCCCACATTGTGAAAATTAATAAAGAAATAAAAGAAGAAAAGGGCCAAAAGAAAAGGAGCCCAAGTATCTGAAATCAAAATGCTATATTTATTAGCGTGGTTTCCCATGATTATAAGAGATATATACGGATTCTCCCTATAGAAGAAGTATACAGAGGAAAGGGACTAGGGAGAGGTAAGTTTATATATTTTGTGTACGTATTATAAACTTCCTTAGGAACTAAAATGAAGATTAACAATATATTTTGTGGGAATCAAACAATGTGTTGTAGTGATAATTTTTTAGGTTATTAGTATCATCTTTTCTTCGTGACTTAGGTTTGCTCTCATTTTAGTTTGGAACCTTCAAGTTTCAAACCATTAATTTTGATCCATTAATGGACAAAATGATTCGCATATTTATTGAATTATAGCAACTAATATTTTAAATGAAAAAAAAACTTGAGGAACCAAAATTTATAATTTAAAACTTAAGAAACAAAAAACAAAATAAGGAATGGATCAAAAATTATATTAACCTTAATTTTTATATAAACTTGAACGAGTTTCTCAAGCGCAGACCATCAATCTTACAAGTTCCCTTTTGTAGACGTAATGGAAGCATTAACACTTAAAACTTCGATGCGCTTTCCTTACTAGAGATTTACTTTTAAACAAATAAAACACGTTTTTATTCAAGCATAGGCATTTTCCTGGCAATATATATCATCACCAGTGGATTGATACATGATGCAGTCATAAACTTGTTTGTATACAGTTTATTTTTACTGAAGAATATGAAGCAGATTTTCTACCTATACAATATAAATGTGAACCTCATCTTTCTTTTTCTTCCCTACTCTCTTATTCATTCACGATCTGCATGTATGATTATTCTTATTCTTAGAACCTGATAATAAATCATATATTTTTCTTAATTGTTTGCATTAGTCAAAGAACTGTAAGACAGATTCAAAAAATTATATATATAAATGTATACAATCCAGATGATAAAAAAATGAATCCTCTTATAAAAATACAGTGAAAGACTTTAGGTTTAGAATTACCTTTTGTTATAGCTATTGTTTAACCAATCTAGGATCTGAGATAGGAGATGAGAACTGCAAAACAGAATTGGAGTCAGAAGAAAATAATTATTCAAGTCTCTTTTGACTGGTAGAAAGGCAC